GAGAGAGAGAGAGAGAGAGAGAGGGTCGAAGCTGTGGGCGAAAATGACGAAATCCCACCGGCGCTCGGTCGGATACGCTGAAGCGGCGCACGGATGCTCACCAACGGCTCCAGAGGCAGCCTGCCAGAGGCTGGGCTGTGCAGCGCTGTGGAGCGCTGTGAGATTGCTGAGGCTGGTCCGCCCGCTGCTCACAGACTGCTGCTTGGCCTCGCAGATGCGCATCCATAAAACCTTCCTCCATCATCTACACCTTGCCCTTGACATCGCGCGCGTCCGCACCGCCGCCGCCATGTCCAGCTACGACAAGGTGGTCAAAGGCGCCACCAAGCCCAAGTCCGGCGGCATCAAGCCCAAGTACATCGACCCGATCATCGCCACCACCTTCGCCACCGATGGCTCGCTCCAGGACGTGTGCCGTGCGCTCGGCACGCGGCTGCGCGACTCGAACGCCACGGTGGTGCTCAAGTCGCTCGTCATCCTGCACACCATGATCCGCAACGGCGAGGTCGACAATGTGCTCTCCCACCTCGCCTCGGACGCCGGCAACATCCGTCTGCGCAACGTCGCCTCCAACAGCTGGTCGGGCGTCTCGGCGCCCCAGACGCTCTCCGTCTACGCGCAGTACCTCGACGAGCGCGTGCGCGCCTACCGCGAGCTCAAGCACGACGTCATCCGCTCCTCGGACCGCTCGCGCGCCCACGCCAACGGCGCGAGCAACTCGAACCGCCTGCGCAAGCTCTCGGTGGAAAAGGGCCTGCTGCGCGAGGTGTCGTCCACCCAAAAGGTCGCCAGCGTGCTCATGCAGTGCTCCTTCTTCCTCGACGACCTCAACGACGACCTCGTCATGTCCGCCTTCCGCATGACCCTCAAGGACCTCCTCGCCATCTACACCGCCATCAACGAAGGCGTCATCAACATCCTCGAACACTACTTTGAAATGGCAAAGTCGGACGCAGAGCGTGCACTCGAACTCTACCGTCGCTTCTGCAGGCAGACCGAGAACGTCGTTGCCTTTCTCAACAGCGCAAAGAAGGCGTCGCACTCGCTCAACCTCGCCATCCCCTCGCTCAAGCATGCCCCCGTCTCGCTCGCCGGCGCGCTCGAAGAGTACCTGCGCGACCCCAACTTCGAGCAGAACCGCAAGGAGTACAAGGAGAACAAGCGCATCGCCGACGGTACACCCTCCGCATCCACGGCACGACCCATCTCCACCATCTCGAGCAGCGTGCCCAAGAGCGACTCCAAGAAGAACATCACCATCCAGGAACCCGACAAGCCAGAGCGCAAGCTCAAGCCGCCCACCGCCAATCAGGACCTGCAGGACTTCTTCGCCAGCATCGACAACGACGGAGGCCAGAACATCTTTTCCAACGTGCCTGCCGAGCAGAGCTTCTTCTTGCAGGCGCAGCCCACGGGTATGATGGGCATCAACGGCGCGTTCGCGGGGATGGGCATGCAGCACACGGGCATGGGCATGATGCAGCCCCAGATGACGGGCTACAACCCGTTCATGGCCCAGCAGCAGACGGGGATGCCCATGGGCATGGCCCCGCAGATGACGGGATTTTTGCAGCCACAGCAGACCGGATTCAACCCGTTCCGCCAGTCGCTCATGCCGCAGCCCACTGGATTCGGTGGGCCCTTTGGCACGTTTGATGCCCCGCCCAGCTTCATGCAACAGTCGCAACAGCCGCAACAGCAACACCAGCCGCAGCAACAGCCGCAGCAACAGCAGCAACCACAACAAGCGCAATCGCCGCAGCCACAATTGCAGCCGCAGCACACCGCGACGCCTTCGCAGCCGCAGCCTCCCTNCCAGCCGCAGCAACAGCCGCAGCAACAGCAGCAACCACAACAAGCGCAATCGCCGCAGCCACAATTGCAGCCGCAGCACACCGCGACGCCTTCGCAGCCGCAGCCTCCCTCGCAGACAGGCAGTGGCTTTGGCTCGTCGTCGCAACCGTCTGCGCTGTCCTCGTTCAACTCTGCCTTTGGCGCGCCCTCGTCCAACGGTGCGACGCCCAAGCCGGTGTTGGCGCAAAAGACGGGCTCGCGCAATCCGTTTGCGCCGCCTCCCGGTTCGACGCCTCCCCCAGCCTCGCCTCCCGCGGCCCGCGGTCCTTCGCTCAACCAGCTGGCCATGAACGCCTTCGCGCCTGGTGGGGGACACTACGGGCTCGGTGCAAATGCGTGGGACGGTACAGATCCCACCAAGTCCGCACAGCAGGGTAGCCCGCAGCAGGGATTGGTGCCGCAAAAGACGGGGTTGATCGGCAGTGTTGCGTCCGAGTTCGCAGCCAAGCCACGGAGCGATCAGCCAGCACAAGCGCAGCAACAGCAGCAACAGCAGCAACAGCACGAGCAGGGGGGACAAGGAGTGGGCGAGTTGGTGGGACAGATGGGTGGCATGTCGTTTGGGGTGCAGCCTCAGCCGACGGGCTTGGGCGGTAGCAGTGTGCGGCCGTTCAAGCCCGAGAGTGCATTTGGCGCGAGCCTGGCCAGCCAGCCGCAGCTGGCGGTGCAGCCGCAGATGACGGGCAACCCGTTCGCCAGGGTCGCTAGTCCAGCCGCGGCTGGGTTTGCCAGTGGAAATGCGTTTGGCTCGGGTACAACCAATGGTGGGTTCGGCAATGCGACTGGCACGAGCGCGTTTGGTGCGGGTGCGACGAATGGCGCATTTAGCAACTCGAATGGCAGCCCCTCTGCATTTGGCACAGGCTCGACCAATGCTTTCGGTGTCAGCTCCAACACCGCCTCTGGATTGGGAAGCAACGCTGCTGGCACCAACAGTGCGGGGGGCAATGCGGGCGGTACAGCGCTGTCGGCCTTCAACTCGGCCTTCAACCCGGGCCCATCCCAGAGTCAGCAGGGTCAGGGGCAGCAGGGGTTCAACGCGGGCTTCAACTCGACACAGGTGCAGCAGGTGCAGCAGGGGCAGCAGGGGCAGCAGGGGCAGGTTGTTCCGCAGGCGACGGGCTTCACTTCGGGCGTGCGACCTTTCCAGCCCTCGAGCGATTTCGGCAAGGCGCTGGCAAGCGATGCGCAGCCCAACCTGCTCCAGTTCTAGCCCCTTGGACTTTAGAGAGAGGCAATTGCATGTGCGGCGAAAGTTGCAATAGCGTGCTGGATGGGTGCAAGACTGAGTCGTGTGGCAGAGGTGTGAGCTTGGACAGCAATGGTGGAGTGGGTGACACAGTATCGAACGAGGGATGTTTGCGATTTTGCGATTGCACATCGTACGCAGAACAGACTAGGGAGGAGGCAGTGTGGGTTTGAAGCTGCGTCTTTGCGTTTTGTCGTGTTGTTGCAGAGTACCGCCATGCAGTATGAAGGTGCCAAGGAGAATTTGGCTTGCAAGGGTCGTCTGTGTTTTACGCTGTCTAGGCATGAGGATCGCTAGTATGCTTGAGCGCGAGTAGCAATCTGATCTTGCGCACCTCAAGGTGCTCTGCCTCGATTCCAGCGCATTCTCTTTCGGAGCCCCACCGCTTTCCCCATGGGCTTTTGTTGGAGCTGGAATTCGCACCATCACTCTCTGTCGACCAGATCAACCTGGCAAACGGACCCGATCAACTCTGAACGTTTCACCCTCAAGCCTGCATCGTCCATCGCAAAGACCGACTTGGTAAAAACGCTCAAGAGGTCAGACAGGATTCAAACGAACCAAGAGCTGTCTGTAGCACCTCAGCGTTTCTTGATACCAAACAGCATTGCCTTGAACAAAGTCATGCTGCACAGCTATCCTAGGAATTGACTCTGCTAGTGCTCAACACACTGCGATCCAGCACACAACGATCAAGTACAAGCCCAACGCAGCTGGCAGCGATCATCGGGTGCTCAGAGTCGCTAGCGTGCAGCTTATCGCAGTCAACCTCAACGCCAAAGCGTGCAAACGCACAGATCGCTCCAAAGTCCTACGGTGTGCAACCCAGCGCAGAGCCAAGCAGCTTATCGACCGCACTCCGCATCTCGGCTCCACAGCCTCTTCTTCTTCCTCTCAGTCCTGCCTAGACCAAAAAAGCTTCTGAGCATCACTTTGCGACACGTCTTTGATTCCAAGCATCTACCATCCCGCCGATCACGCCTATCCATCTTGGTCCGAGTTGGCTTCACAGCTGGTCAAGCGCATGCTGGATGCGACGCGTCAGCGACACGAGCAACCCCTTGAGCTGCTGCGCCTCCAACGCCTCGTGAGCAGCCTTGACGGCCAAATCCACCCCACCGCGCGTCAACACGACATCCACACTGACCTTGGGCTGCCACACCTCCTCGGCACTTTGCTGCTGCACACCAGCATACTCGGTGGGTACGCCGATGTCGACGGGCTGCATCTCATCCGCCCCGTCGCCCGGCGAGTCGAGCAGCACATTCACCGCGGTATTGTACGCGTGCGGCTGCAGCCCAGCCCAGGCGTGTGCATCGCTCAGCGACGTCTGCTCATAGCGCGCCCGCTCCCGCAGCTGGACAACTGCAGACCGTGCGCGGTCCACCAGCATCGCACCGTGCAGCCGCATGGGCAGCATATTGAGCAGCGGCCCCTGCACCGTGTCGATGCCCTCGAACGAGGTCGATCGGCCCAGCTGGTACAGCCCAAACAGCGGCGCTGCGTCGGGCTGCAGTTCGAGACGTGCACCTAGCTCGGTGGCCCACGCTGCGAGAACGAGCGCCGGGAGAGACACGCGTGCCGCGCGCAGTCGTGTCTCCACATCGTCAGACACGCGGATAGCACCCTTGAGAGACTCGAACGACTCTCCTCCCGCGGCCGCACTGGCCGAAAGAACCGCCGACTCGCCACCCGACAGAGCCTCGGCCCAGAAGCGCTGTGCGTCGCCCGAGCGTACCAGTGCGTCCTGCTCGCGAGCGACGTGCTGCACCGCCTCGACCCACGACGCTGCGCTACGCGGCGAGCGGCCGTGGTACAGCGCAGCAAAGTTGCGCACCAGCGCCTCGATCGAAAAGGCATCGTACACGACGTGGTGCAGCGAAAACACGAGCACGTCTCCCACCACCGTGAGCTTCACTGGCGGCACACGCAGCGTCTTCCACCCAGCCGCCGCTTGCTGCGCCACCACCTGCCGCACCGTCGCGTCCACATTCTCCTCGCCCACATGCGCCTCTTCAAAGTGCGGCGTTTCTCCGAGCGCCTTGGCGGCCAGCACGACCTGTGCCTCGCTGCCGTTACCTACGAGCAGCGCGGTGCGTAGGATCGCGTGCGTCGCGCGCAGATGTGCCCACGTTGTCCGGGCACGCTGCGCGTCCAGCCCGGGCAGCCGGTATGCAAAGCTGAATCCGCCCGCGCCAGCCTTCTGCGCCCAGGCGGCGAGCCACAGCTTCTGCCACGCCAGCAAGGG